TTTTTGTATTTTTAGTAGAGACGGGGTTTCACTATGTTGACCAAGATGGTCTCGATCTCCTGACCTCGTGATCCACCCGCCTCGGCCTCCCAAAGTGTTAGGATTACAGGCTTGAGCCACCGCGCCCGGCCTGTTAGCCCCATCTTACAGAGCCCTCAGAGAGGCCAAGGAATCTACCCACGGTCACACAGCCACCCAGGTCGGTCTGACTCCAAAGCCCACACGCTTCCCACTCAGCCTTTTCCGACTGTTTCGCCACCGTGAGTCTGTTGTACGGCCCGGACCAAGCTACTTCATCTCTGTGCCGCAGAGCGATCATGGGGGATGGGCTAGCACAGCAGGGCATGTATGAAGGGCCCTGGCACAGGTCCTGGCACCCAGTTGCTCAGTAGTTGGGGTTTCCTGTGAAACTGGTGACTGCGAGAGGCTGACTCTCTAAACGGCAGGGGTGGCTTTGTGTCTGTGTGACCACGCATGGCATTGGTGAATAATTTTTTAGTGCATGCCCCACTGTGTGCAGATTTATTGATAAATTATGTGCAAGGAGGGGGCATTGTAGCCTAGTGGTTAAGGGAACAGCCTCGGGACACACCTCCCTCTGGAACCAGTAGACACTTAATCTTCCTGGCTGTTAACTGTGTTCCCAACCGCAGCCCGCAGCCCCTATGTGGTGTGCATTTCACCTCCCCACCTCCCCCTCAACCCCCAGGGCTGTGAGTATGTGATTAATAAACTGCTGTCAAGCTAAAAAAAACAACAACAAAAACAGCTGGGCAGGGTGGCTCACGTCTGTGATCCCAGCAACTTCGGGCAGCTGAGGCTGGCGGATCACTTGAGGTCAGGAGTTTGAGACCAGTCTGGCCAACATGGCGAAATCCTGTCTCTACTAAAAATACAAAAATTAGCTAGGTGTGGTGGTGCTTGCCTGTAATCCCAGCTACTCCGGAGGCTGAGGTGGGAGGATCACTTAAACCCGGGAGGTGGAGGTTGCAGTGAGCCGAGATTGCGACACTGCACGCCAGCCTGGGCGACAGAGCTAGACTCCGTCTCCAAAAACAAAAAACCCCACAAAAACAACAACAACAACAATAGCCTCTGGAGCTAGAGTGCCTGGCTTTGAATCCCAGCTCCGCAGTTTACTAACTCTGTGGCCTTGGACAAGTTATTTAGCATCTCTGTGCCTGTTTCATCTTCTGTAAAGTGAGGTTGATTACTTCACTCCAGCCTGGGCAACAAGAGCGAAACTCTGTCTCAAAAAAGCAACAAATCAACAAAATAAACAAATTCTAGTATTTTCTCCCACGCTCCGGGGATGTTTTTGCACTGCCTGCCTGCCTGAATGGCGAGCACTAAAGGAGCAGGAGCTGTGCTGATCACACAGCCAGGGATGGTGGAGCTCTAGTCTGGGCCTTGGGGGTGGGGCATCGGGTTGGGGGAGGCCTTGCCGACCCCACCTCCTGACATCGCTCCAGCTCCAGGTAGCCCAGCGGAAGCTGCAGGAACAAGAAGGCGAGTTCCGGACCCGCGAACGAAGCCTGCTGGGCTCCCTGGAGGAGGCACGCGCCACTGAAAAGCAGCAGCTGGACCACGCCCGCGGCCTGGAGCTGAAGCTGGAAGCGGTGCGGGCCGAGGCTGCAGAGCTGGGCCTGCGGCTGAGCGCGGCCGAGGGCCGGGCACAAGGCCTGGAGGCCGAGCTGGCCCGCGTGGAGTCGCAGCGGCGCGCGGCGGAGGCCCAGCTTGGCGGCCTGCGCTCGGCTCTGCGCCGGGGCCTTGGCCTTGGTCGCGCGCCCAGCCCTGCCCCGCAACCGGTGCCCGGCTCCCCTGCCCGGGATGCGCCCGCTGGAGGTAAGCACAGCGCGTGGCGGCAGAGAAGGGTGAAGGTGGGCGGGCCGCACTGAGGCCCCGCCCCATATTACAGTTTTGTTTTGTTTCCCAAGAAGCCCGCCTTTCGCTGGGCCACGCCCCTCCACCCAGGCTTGCTTCTTAGTCCCGCCCCGTTACCGAGGCCCCTCCCTTCACTGATCCATGTTTCTCTAGGGCAATTTTTCTTTTTTTTTTTGGGGGGGGACGGAGTTTCGCTCTTGTTACCCAGGCTGGAGTGCAATGGCGCCATCTCGGCTCACCGCAACCTCCGCCTCCTGGGTTCAGGCAATTCTCCTGCCTCAGCCTCCTGAGTAGCTGGGATTACAGGCACCCGCCACCATGCCCAGCTAAGTTTTTGTATTTTTAGTAGAGACGGGGTTTCACTATGTTGACCAGGATGGTCTCGATCTCTTGACCTCGTGATCCACCCGCCTTGGCCTCCCAAAGTGCTGGGATTACAGGCTTGAGCCACCGCGCCTGGCCTGCTTTTTCTTTTTTTTAGGCAAGGCCCCACTCTGTTGTCTGAGCTCAACTGGTCCTCCCTCCTCAGCCTCCTGAGTAGCTGGGATACAGGTGTACCACCACGCCCAGCTAATTTTTGTAGTTTTTCTAGAGACGGGCTTACTGTGTTGTCCAGGCTGGTCTTAAACTCCTGGCTTGAAGCGATCCTCCTGTCTCTACCTCTCAAACTGTTGGGATTACAGGAATGAGCCACAGCACCCAGTCTAGGTCGCTTCCTTTTGGAGGGAGGGGAGGTGGTTCTTTATTTTTAATTTTTGAGACAGAGTCTCACTCTGTCACCCTGATTGAAGTGCAGTAGTGTGATCTCAGCTCACTGCAACCTCTGCCTCCCGAGGGCTCAAGTGATCATCCCACCTCAACCTCCTGAGTAGCTGGGACTACAGGCATACACTACCACGTCTGGTGAATTTTTGTATTTTTAGTGGAGATGGGGTTTCACCATGTGGCCCAGGCTGATCTCAAGCTCCTGGACTCAAGCAGTCCTCCCGCCTCGGCCTCCCAAAGTGCTGGGATTACAAGCATGAGCCACCACGCCTTTCCTGGATGGGGAGATGGAGGGTTTTAATGCCCTTGACTCCTTTTCTGATTTTCTGAGCCTCCATCCTTAGTTGACCCTGCCCTCTCTCCAGCAACACCCTATTTTCTTCAGCCTCTCATCCCCAGCTCCACACCATGCCTGTGACCTCACATCTCCCTCAAATAGATATACCACCAGGCCTGGCCCCTTCTAGGAAATCCTTCCAAAGGAAAAACCAGGCACGGGACATTGCTGGTGGGAATGTAAAATGCTGCCGTCACTGTGGAAAATAGTTTGGCAGTTCCTTAGAACGCTAAAAATAGAATTATTGTAGACCCAGCAATTCCACTCGTAGGTATATACCCAAAAGAACTGGAAACAGGGGCATGAGCAGATATTTGAGCACCAGTGCTCATTGCAGCATTGCTCACAATAGTCAAAGGAAACAGCCCAAATGTCCATCTACAGATGAATGCATAAACCAGCTACAGTGTGGACAGACCATGGAGTATTATCCGGCCTTCAAAAGGAATGACACTCTGATACATGCCAAAACACGAATAAACCTTGACAACATTACACTAAGTGAAATCTATGTCACCAAAGGACCAATACAGTATGATTCCACTTACATGAAATATCTAGAATAAAGAAATTCATAGAGACAGAAAGCAGATTAGAGGTTACTAAGGGCTGAGGATTGGGGTGTTACTGCTTTATGTAGTGAAGTTTCTGTTTGGGGCTATCCTAGTTTGCCAAAGCTGCTGTGACAAAGGACATTATCCTTGGTGTCCGAGAGGGACTGGTTCTAGGACCCCATTGGATACCAAAATTGGTGCATGCTCAAGTCCTTGATATGAAATGGCATAGTACTTGCATGTTACATATGTGCACACTGCCATATACTTTCAGTCATCTTTAGGTTACTCACAATACCAAATATAGTTAAATGAAAATAGTTGTTACAATGTGTTGTTTTTAATTTGTCTTTTTTTTTTTTTTTTAAGATGGAGTCTCGCTCTGTTGCCCAGGCTGGAGTGTGGTAGCATGATCTCGGCTCACTGCAGTCTCTGCCTCCTGGGTTAAAGTGATTCTCCTGCCTCAGCCACACCTGGTTAATTTTTGTATTGTTAGTAGAGACAGGGTTTCACCGTGTTGGCCAGGCGAGTCTTGAACTCCTGACTTTGTGATCTGCCCACCTCAGCCTCCCAAAGTGCTGGGATTACAGACATGAGCCATTACACACCTGGCTAATTTATATATATATATATATATATATATATATATATTTTTTTTTTTTTTTTTTTAGTAGAGATGGGGTTTCACCATGTTGGTCAGGGTGGCCTCAAACTCCTGACCTATTGGGCCAAACGCCTGACCATCCCGTCGGGATGATTTGTGAACAGATGATGGTGATGGCTGCACAACAGTGAATGTAATTCATGCCGCTCAGTTGTACACTTAAAAACGGTGAAAGTGTGCCAGGCGCGGCAGCTTATGCCTGTAATCTCAGCACTTTGGGAGGCCTAGGTGGGCGGACCACCTGAGGTCAGGAGTTCAGGACCAGCTTGGCTAACATGATGAAACCCCATTTCTACTAAAGGAAAATACAAAAAATTAGCCAGGCACGGTGGTGCACACCTGTAATCACAGCTACTTGGGAGGCTGAGGCAGGAGAATCGCTTGAACCCGGGAGGTGGAGGTTGCAGTGAGCTGAGATTGTGCCACTGCTCTCCAGCCTGGGCAACAAGAGCAAAATTCTGTCTCCAAAAAAAAAAAAAAGGAAAAGTGAAAATGGGCTGGGTGCAGTGGCTCACGCTTGTAATCCCAGCACTTTATGGGGCTGAGGGGGGTGGATCACTTGAGTTCAGGAGTTCGAGACCAGCCTGGGCAACATGACGAAACCCCATCTCTATAAAGCAACAACAACAATTAGCGAGGCATGGTGGCACATGCCTGTAGTCCCAGATACTTGGGAGGCTGAGGCAGGAGGATCTATTGAGCCTGTGAAGTCGAGGCTATAGTGAGCTGTGATCATACCACTGTGCTCCAGCCCAGGCAACAGAACAAGACCCTGTCTAAAAAAAAAATGGTGAAACTGGGACACTTTTATGTTATGTATGTTTTGTCACAACAACAAAAAAATTGGGGAAAAGCCAAGGGAGGGGCCAGGGCTGTTTATGTGGGGGCAGCAGGTCCCTCACTGAGGAGGTGATGGGGAAAGGGAGAGCGGTTGTGAGGCTCGGGGTGAGTGGGGAGGTCTGAAGTGGAGGCACCCTTTCCTGTGGACAGCAGGAGCCAGCAGTCCCAAAGCATCAAGCAGGAGAGTGAGGGGTGGGGTGAAGGGCTTACTGCAGTAGCCATTGCAGGACTTTTACCCTGAGATAATGGGACCTTCTAGAGCTGGGGGCCCCAGGGGCAGGCCTGCTTCTTTGGGAACCTCTGAGTGGGGCCCTTTGGGTGGTGAACAAGTTTGTGGCTGCCGGGTAGTTTGGTGTCGCTTCACCGTCACCGAGGCAGGATGCTCATGGCAGGACCCTTGTCCTGCAGTTCCAGTGCCAGCCTCCAGGTAGCACCCTGGTTCTACCCACCCTGCCCCCTCCACCTCCCTAAGCCTTCACTCCAAGCAGAGTGCACAATTTTCTGCCAGGGAGTCGGGCTGCCTGGGTTCCCATCTCAGCTCTGAAACTTTCCAGCATTGAAAACAAGCAAATCACTTTCTTTTTTTTTTTTGAGTTGAAGTCTCGCTCTGTGGCCTATGCTGGAGTGCAATGACACTGTCTCAGCTCACTGCAACCTCCACCTCCTAGGTTCAAGCGATTCTCCTGCCTCAGCCTCCCGAATAGCTGGGACTACAGGCGTGCGCCACTGTGCTTGGCTAATTTTTTGTATTTTTAGTAGAGACAAGGTTTCACCATGTTGGCCAGACTGGTCTTGAACTCCTGACCTCAGGTGATCTGCCTGCCTGGGCCTCCCAAAGTGCTGGGTGTGAGCTGCCGTGCCCAGCCCACTTTTTTTTGTTTTTTTCTAGTTGGAGTCTCTCTCTGTCACCCAGGCTACTGTGCAGTGGCACTATCTCAACTCACTGTAACCTCTGTGTCTGGGGTTCAAGTGATTTTCCTGCCTCGGTCTCCAGACCTCAGCCTCTCCAGTAGCTGGGACTGTAAGTGTGGGCCACCATGCCCAGCTACTTTTTAAATTTTATTTATTTATTTATTTATTTATTTATTATTTTGAGACAGAGTCTCGCTCTGTCGCTCAGGCTGGAGTGCAGTGGTTCGATCTTGGCTCACTGCAAGCTCTGCCTCCCAGGTTCAAGCAATTCTCCAGCCTCAGCCTCTTGAGTAGCTGGGATTACAGGTACATGCCATCACACCCAGCTGATTTTTGTATTTTTAGTAGAGATGGGGTTTCACTGTGTTGGCCGGGCCAATCTCAGACTCCTGACCTCAGGTGATCCACCCACTTCAGCCTCCCAGAGTGTTGGAATTTCAGGCGTGAGACACCATACGCAGCCAATTTTTGTATTTTCAGTAGAGACAGCGTTTCACCATGTTGGCCAGGCTGGCCTTGAACTCCTGACCTCAAGTGAGCCGCCCGCCTCAGCTCCCACAGTGCTGGATTTACAGGCATGAGCCACCAGACCCAGTCAGGAAAACAAGCAAATCACTTAACTGCTTTGAGCCAGCTTTACCGGGGAAGAGGGTAAACTTCCTTACCTGTCAGGAAGTTGTCATAAAGATGAAGCGCCTGGCACAGTAGGTGCTCAGTCCGGAGAGACGTTGAGGTGATGCAGTGGCCACCCTTGCACTGGGCCCTGGGAACAGTGGTGGATGGAAGGGACGAGGCCCAGCCCTCATGGTGCTTGTGGTCTAGGTGGGGTGGCAGACATCAGACCCCCCTGAGGGTGGGATGTGTTCATTCTAATCCAGCATGGGGCCAGGGAGGCCTCTGTGGGTGGGGGGTGGGGTACCCTAAAGGATGGGCCAGGTAAAGAGAGGCCATGGGGAGAGGGGGAGCAGCACTCACAGAGGCCCTAGGGCTGGGACAGAGAATGTCCTAGAATATAGATGCAGGGTGGCCATTTTGTAAAGGGTGAGAGGGTTTCAGCTGGGTGGGCAAGAAGGCCCCTAGGCTATAGCAGAGGTTGGGCTTGATTCTGAGGGCTGCTGGGAGCAGCAGGGACGGAAGTGAGTGAGGTGCATGGGAGGCCCGTGGCTCCTGCATTCCTTAGCATCTTCTCTTCTAGGAAGCAGGGAAGGGCTCAGCAGCCCCAGCACCTTGGAATGCAGCCCTGGGTCCCAGCCACCATCTCCAGGACCTGCTACCTCCCCAGCTCCTCCAGACCTGGACCCAGAGGCAGTGCGTGGGGCCCTCCGGGAATTCCTGCAGGAGCTTCGAAGCGCCCAGAGAGAACGGGTAAGCCTGGGCATGAGTGGCTGGATAGGGAACCTGGAGGGCCCTGGAGGGGTTGCAGGGTGTCAGAGCCGGGGTCTTCCTTTGTTCCCCCATGTCGGGGCTGCAGGACGAACTTCGGACCCAGACCAGTGCCCTGAATCGCCAGCTGGCTGAGATGGAGGCTGAGAGGGACAGCGCAACGTCGAGGGCCCGGCAGCTGCAGAAGGCGGTGGCTGAGAGTGAGGAAGGTGAGTTTGACCCTCGGGGGTCCCTGTTCTCTCTCCTGTGTTTTGGGTAGTTGAGGCGGGAGCCGCGGGTATTGGCCTCTGACCCTGCCGTGGCCCCGGTGACCTGACTCAGGGCTGTTTCCTCCAGAGGACCTCCTTGGTCAGCCTCACCTGTGTGCAGGCCCGCACACTGTGAAGGGTGCAGACAGGCCCTGCGCTGGGTGGAGTGCAGGCTGGACATTTTGTGACCTGGTTTGGGTCTCAGGGCTGCGCTTGGCCACGCCCATGCCTGACGGGGTGGGCGGTGGCTGCAGCCCGGCGCAGTGTGGATGGGCGGCTGAGCGGGGTCCAGGCGGAGCTGGCGCTGCAGGAGGAGAGTGTGCGGCGCAGTGAGCGGGAGCGCCGGGCCACGCTGGACCAGGTGGCCACGCTGGAGAGGAGCCTGCAGGCCACTGAGAGCGAGCTCCGGGCCAGCCAGGTGGGCAGGAGCTGAGGGCCGGTGGGCGAGGGGGAATCTGTGTCCGGGAGTGGGTGTCCAACTCCTACCGCGTGTCTCCCTGTGTCTGTCTGCCTGAGTCTCTCTGCAACCCACTGAGGTGGCCAGCCTGCGACTCTGTGAAACTGTTCAGGCTCCATCATCTCATGTCACTTGTGCTCACTAGGCTGTAGAAAAAAGAGCTCAGTCAGGGTGCATTAGCTCATGCCTGTAATCCTGGCACTTTGGGAGGCCGAGGGGGGTGGATCCCTTGAGCCCAGGAGTTTGAGACCAGCCTGGGGAACATGGTGAAACCCCATCTCTATGAAAAATACAAAAATTAGCTGGGCTTGGTGGTGTGGGCCTGTAGTCCTACCTGGGAGGCTGAAGGGAGGATCACTGGAGCCTGGAAGGTCGAGGCTGTGGTGAGCTGTGATGGTGCCATTGCACTCTAGCAAGGCAGACAGTGAGACCCTGCCTCCAAAAAAAGAAAGAAAGAAAGAAAAAGAGCTTGGGCTTTGAGTCGTCATCTGCCTGGTTTTCATTTTCCTCATCTGTAGAAGGAGGAGCAGTGATTGCCCACAGGGTGATACACACAGACTCTTAACACAGGTGGTGTGCGGGGGGTCTCTGTTTTATGTCTCTGTGTAGCCACACGAGTGCATGCTGGGGTTTTTATGTGTGTTTGGGGAACATCTGTATGTGCTGGTGTGTGTGGGGCAGGAAGCTCAGGCTCTGGTAGTAACAGTGCAGCGCCTTCTTGCAGCCAAAGTCCCCCTCTGCCCTCCCCAGCCTGTCCTTCCATTACTGTCCCCCGCCCTCTGCCTCTGGCCTGGGGCCGAGCTTAGCTGGATTGTTGTGTCTGCGGCTTCAGCTCTGGCCATGGGCCCAGCCGCAGGGGCTGCGGGAGGAGGCCAGGAACAAAGCTGGGCAGGAGCCAGAGTGGGGGCCCTAGACGGCAGGGCTGGGGATCTGGGCAAGATGGCAGAGGGACCAGGCTCAGAATGGGGGCCGGGGAGGGCAAATAACACCCCCTGTTGTCCCACCCTGTCTCTAGGATAGTACCAGGGATGAGAGGACCCCTAGTCTGCCTCCCTGTCCCATCCCTGCTCCCCAGACTATCTTCACTGGCTGACCCTGGGCAGGAGAGGGGGAATCATCACCTGAAACCCTAGAATAGCAGGGCCCCTCGGAACTGCCAGGCTTGGCTCAGTTTGCACGTGAGTCAGTGGGGCAGGAGAAGAGCCCTGAAATCTGCATTTCTACCGCCCCTGCCTCAGGGCTCCTGTGAGCACCTGGGTTGTGGTTCCCTGGGACCAATCCAGTGTCCCCACTGTACAGATAGGAGATGGGGCCAGAGAGCGGGAAGGGGCAGTCCTGGGTTCCACAGCCCGCTGGCCTGGGCTAAAACTGGAAGGTAGTCTCTGGGATCTTCACGTCCACTCATCCTGGGAACACATGGGGAAACCAAGGCCCTCAGAGGGTCCCAGGCTGGTCCCAGGCTGGCCCCAGGGTCACACCGGTCACCCTTCGAGGCTGTTCCCCACTTTCCCCTAAGGGGCCCAGGGCGTGTGTGGGAAGGGTGCGGGTGCACTGGACATCTGGGCCTGAGCCCTGCACAACCTGCAGGAGAAGATTAGCAAGATGAAGGCCAATGAAACGAAGCTGGAGGGCGACAAGCGGCGCCTGAAGGAGGTCCTGGACGCCTCTGAGAGCCGCACCGTCAAGCTGGAGCTGCAGCGGCGCTCGCTTGAGGGGGAGCTGCAGCGCAGCCGCCTGGGCCTGAGCGACCGCGAGGCCCAGGCCCAGGCTCTTCAGGATCGGGTGGACTCCCTGCAGAGACAGGTGAGCTTCTCGCCAAATCACCCCCACAGCATCTGTGTGCCCTGTGCCAAGAGCTTTGTAGGCACTACACTGCACAACCCTGTGAGGCAAGTATTACCAACATCCCCATTTCACAGATGGACAAATGGAGGCTGAGAAGTGATGTCATTGTCTAAGATCCCGTAGCTAGTAAGAGGTATTGGCAAAATTCGAATTCAGGATTATTTGATGACCGAATCTGCATGCATAGGAGTCCTTGGGGATGAGTTAAGAGATGTGGGTTTCACTCATTTCCCTTTTCGCCTTAACTGCTAGGAAGCTAAGCTGTAACTGGAACATTCAGTAATTCTGCTAGCCTTACCTGAACACCCACCAAAGTCAAAAATAGAAAATGTTAGGGTTGTGGTGGTTACCCTTTCTCCTCCACAGCAGAGAGGGGAGGGGATTGAGGACAGGGAGGAGACCAGGGAGTCTGAGACAACTGGGTTGATGGCACTCTGGGCACAAGTAGTTAGCCAGCAGTGGGAAGGGGCCCAGGTTGCAATAGGCTGAGCTAGTGGGAGTGCTTAGAACAGTGGGTCTCAATGATGGAGGCCCAGGGAGAGGTGGGAAGGGCGTGGATTGGGCATGCCAAGTGGAGGTCACAGTAGGAGCAGAGGTGTAGAGACCAGATGGCAACAGCCCCTTGATGGTTCTGGCTGTCCTCCTGCCAGGTGGCGGACAGCGAGGTGAAAGCAGGGACCCTGCAGCTGACCGTGGAGCGGCTGAATGGGGCCCTGGCCAAGGTGGAGGAAAGCGAGGGGGCCCTGCGGGACAAGGTGCGGGGACTGACAGAGGCCCTGGCCCAGAGCAGCACGAGCCTCAACAGCACCCAGGACAAGAACCTGCATCTACAGAAGGCTCTGACTGCCTGTGAACATGACCGCCAAGTGCTCCAGGTCTGGGGCCCAGGGTCTGGCTGAGGTGGGCCCAGTGAGAGAGTCAGCCAGTAAGAGCAGGCTTGGAGGGGGGCCCTGGTAAAGAGCCAGCCAGTGGGGCAGTCAGTTGGAGCCAATGAGAGCAGGCTTTGAGGGGGGGTGGGCCTAAAAGAGCATCAGCCAATGAGAGGAGGCTCTAGGTATGTCCCATAAGAAGACAAAACTGGGCCGGGCGCGGTGGCTCAAGCCTGTAAGGAGGCCGAGGCGGGTGGATCACGAGGTCAAGAGATCGAGACCATCCTGGTCAACATGGTGAAACCCCTTCTCTACTAAAACTACAAAAAATTAGCTGGGCATGGTGGCGCGTGCCTGTAATCCCAGCTACTCAGGAGGCTGAGGCAGGAGAATTGCCTGAACCCAGGAGGCGGAGGTTGCGGTGAGC